GATGCAGCACAAGATCTGCAGAGGCCCTAAGATGAAACCAAGTATTTATTTACACTTCATATCAAAGTCATTTCTAACCCTCCTCCTCCCCGCAGCCGCCTTTTCTCCAGGATGAAGGCGGTGGGACAGCGCAGGTGTGTGAGCATCCTCCCAAAATGGGAAGCTGTTTTCTTCTGTGAGACAAAAAAAAATCCCAAACAGGTCAAGAGGTTGTACTGCTGGAGGGGCTGGGGATGGCTTGAGGACAGAAGGACCATGTCTGCCAAAGATGCCACCAACTGGAAAGTTGCTTCCTCACCCTCCAGTGCTTTTTTTTTCCCCTGGGAAAAGCCGTAAGGAAAGGTCCGTGTTTGGAGTCAGTGAGATTAGAAAAATGAAGGAAAAGTGCCAAAAGAAAGAATCATGCCAGATGATTGTATAATGTTGTTGTATATTGTCAGTATTTTTCCTCAAACGCTCTTGTACAGGCTGTGCACAGTAGTCATGACGTGTAGCTTGGACAAGCGCTTCTCTGTATTTCCTCAGTGAAAGCCAACAGGGGAGGTCGAAGCCTTAAAAGACTTGTCCCTGGTTATAAAAACAAGCCTTTAGCAACGCTCTGAGCACGGACCCCAGGGCTCCTCCCACACCCCCCAGCAGCCCCGGGGGCGGCTGAAAGACCAAGGAGCTTGTCCCAGGCGCGGAGGGAACACGTTGCGCGGACATGCGGCTCCTCTCACCCGTCGGGGGACCCGAGGTGAAAACCGACGACTCTTGGATGTGACAGAGCCCCGTGGGACGTCCCCGTGGGTGGCACCAGCCTGCCATGATCCCCACGCATCCCACACAAAGCATTCTTGGCCCTGGGGCTGTAAAACACCACGAAGCATCAGCTCTAGAATTAGCTTTTCACTATGCAAACAGGAAAATCTGCAGCTGGTTCCGAGGTGGGGTTCTGTGCCCAGTTTCCTTGGTGGTTACTGTCAGACTCAAAACCCAACCTAGATGTTGCTACATGGGGTTTTTTTTTCTCCTGATAGTGCTTTAAATCGTTGTGCTTTTGTGTCCTCCTCAGCTTGCCAGCAGAGCAACAGGGTGGTAAAAAACTGAAGGGTGGTTTTGGGTCTCAGCTGAACCAACATGGCTTCACCTGAACATGCTAAAACTCGATAGAAGTTACCCAAGGACTGTTGCATGTGTAAAATGGGTGGGTAAAATGACACGCAGGCATCTGTCATGTTGTGGCTTCTGTTATTTGGGAAGGAGTAAATCCTGCTTGTGAGCAAAAAATTTGTCACAAACCAGAAATCCAGGGAGTGTGTCCAAATAACGCACACGTTTGAACAGCAGGGACTTAAACTGCAGGACAAAGGCTGAGGTGAAACGAGAATAAAACCAGGTTCTGACATTGAACTCCCCGTTTCTGCTCAAGTTGCCGTACTTGGGAACAAGCAGGATCCTGCTGGTGCCTGTACCCAGCAGGCTGCGCTCGTCCCTGGCTGGTCGAGGTGGTTGATGAATGTTTTGCAAGGGTAGAAAGGAAAGGTGAAGGTGTGTAGAAGGACTTGGATTTCAAGCAGCCAGGGGGAAGCAGGCACCTTCCGTCGCGCCCCATCACGTTGCCCAACCTCTCCGGTTGCGCTGGTGCAGCTGGTTTTAGGGATGGTGGATTTGGGGTTTTAATAACTACTAATAACTGGGACCCCTCTGCTGGGAGGTCAGGCTGAGAGGGTTGGGCTTGGGCAGCCTGCAGAGGAGAAGGCTCCAGCTGGGGAGACCTGCTGGGGGCCTACCAGGACTTCCAGGGGCCTCTCAGAAAGCTGGGGAGGGACTTTTGAGCGGGGCCTGTTGGGACAGGACAAGGGGGGATGGTCTGAAACTCAAAGAGGGAGACTGAGACCAGAGAGAAAGGAGAAATGTTTGATGCTGAGGGTGACGAGCCCCTGGCCCAGGTTTCCCCGAGAGGTGGTCGCTGCCCCATCCCTGGAACCATTCCAGGGGAGGTTGGCCAGGTTGGCCCATCATGACCTATGCGTCTCATGGGACAGGGCGCTCACAGCCCAGTTGTAGCTGGCCAAACCCCCCCTGCAGTTCCCAGAGGGTGCAGTAGTTTTTCCTCCAGGCCAGTTTCTGTGCAGGGCTGGGTGAGGACACAGCTTCTTCTCCAGGAGCTGCAGAGCACAGCCATGAGCAGACCTGGGCTCCGTGTCCTGTCAGCACAGCATCGTGGCTGTATCGCTGCTCTCCAGCTGGACGTCGCCACGTGAAAGCCTGAGATGAGTCTTGTCTCCACACCCTGCACCTGCCAGCCTCAGGAGGGGAAAAACGGCTCCAAACAAGTTTCATTTATTCCGAGAGGACCAAGGTGTGGGATGCTTTATTCAACCCTTGGCTATGCTGACAACTAAACTTTGGGCACCTTCTTGGCCACTCTTTTCCCTGGCAGCTCTTTTGGGCTCTTCTGCTTGGGTGTTGCCTCTGCAAGAAGGTCTTCTACCAGCTGTGCCTCCTCCAAGGGCTTGCCCATCTCCTCGCCAAGGGTTTCAGGAAGGATCTTGAACACCTCCTGGAATTCCTTCATCAGCCTCCGTGCTTCCCAGTACTCCCTGGGGCTGGATTTCCTCTTCTGCAGAACAGATGCTGGAAAAGGCCAGGGGTTGGGGAGAGCAATGAGATGGCTGCTTGGCAATATTTGACCTTCCCTCCCATGCCTCTGCCCACCAGCAGCTCCGGCCCCGTCTTGTCCCTGCGGCACAGGGACACAGAGGTGGCTGCTGGGATCCAGCTCTGTCCTGGTGGCCACACCAAGCAGGAGCCCCAAAAGGAAAAAGCCTGAAAAGTTGGTGGTCAGCCAGCTGATTATAAGCCAGCATGCACCCAGGTGGCCAAGAAAGCGACCAGCATCCTGGCCTGGACCAAAAACGGTGTCTAGCAGAAGGAGGGAAGTGCCCCTGGACTGGGCACCAATGACCGGACAAGAGGCACTGGGCTGAAGTTGCCCCAGGGGAGGCTTCCGCTCGATCTGAGGCAGAATTTCTTTCCTGGCAGAGTGGTGAGGCCTTGGCCCAGGCTGCCCAGGGAGGTGCTGGAGTCCCCAGCCCTGGAGGGGTTTCCAAGCCGTGGGGATGTGGTGCTGAGGGACACAGGTCAGTGGAGACCTGGCAGTGCTGGGGTTAATGGTTGAGCCTGATGATGTTAAAGGTCTCTCCCAACCAAAATGGTTCTATGACCTGCTCTGGGCAGCCTGGGACACAACTGGACAACCCTCACAGGCAAGAAGTTGTTCCTCAGGTCCAACCTCAACCTCCCCGTGTGCAACTTGAGGCTGTTTCCTCCTGTCCTGTCACTTGGTCTTTGGGAGCAGAGCCCAACCCCCACCTGGCTCCAGGCTCCTGTCAGGGAGCTGTGGAGAGCCAGAAGGTCTCCCCTCAGCCTCCACAGCTCCAGGCTCAGCACCCCCAGCTCCCTCAGCTGCTCCTCCCCACCCTTGGGCTCTAGACCCTTCCCCAGCAGCTTTGTTGCCCTTCTCTGGCCATGCTCCAGCCCCTCAAGGTCCTTCTTGGAGGGAGGGGCCCAAAAGTGACCCCAGGATTCAAGGCACCACATCTCCTGCCCCTGCCTCTGTGGTGCTATCAACAGGAGAAACTGGGAATGCAAGAACCTACCCAAGGGGACTTCAGTGATTGTCGAAGTGTTTCTCATGGCCATCAGGATTCCATCCAGGACCTCTGCTCTTGTCTTTCGCGTGGGAGCACTGAGCATCCTCCCATGCTGCAAGGAAGACCAGGAGGCTGCAGCCTGTCTCCCCTCCACCCTCCAGGCTGACCCAAACTAACATGGGCCAAGGTAGGTGAGGCAGTCTCTTTTTTTGGATCAAGCTGGTCTGGTTTAGACACCCAGTTAAGCTTATTGAGCAACACTGGCCCAGCCTCCAGAAACCAGAATGGTTCTGTGATCAGGAACAGGGGCCAAGCCCACCTCAGGCTCTCAGCATCCATCCAAACACCATGTAGAGATGCAACCTGTCTCCCTTAGGAGCTTCTTCTCTCTACCTTCTTCCGAGGCACGTAGGGCTTCTGCAGGGTGTCCAGCCGTGGGGTGGCATCCCGGTACACCCGGGGGTGCTCCAGGATGTAGTACAACGCCCGCACGTTCTGCTGTATCCCTGTGAGCCGGGGAAACGGGACAACCAAAGCCTTTGCTGCTTCTTTTTTGGGTCAGAGTGGAGCGTGATGCTCATCGACCTGCCAAGGTGTTTCCAGGCAGGAGCCTTCTGCTGTCTTCACTCACCAATGGGCTTGATGAAGTCTGGGTCCGTGTCTCCCCCGAGCAGCTCCTCGTAGCCTTTGTATCGCTCGGGAACCGCCTGGGAGCTTTCTTCTCCCCTGTGCCCAATCCTCTCCTCCAGCCTGCCCTCTGCCATGGGTCTCAGCGGGGGTCTGGACACATCCTCCACCTCCAAGCAGCAAAAGAAAGGAATTCACAGCAGCCCCTTCCCGCCAGTCAAGCTGATGGAGTCAGCCAGAGCCTGTCCTGCTGTGACCAGAGGTCTCCTGGTGGCACCGAGCCACACAACCACCACCTCAGCCCATCTCTGCTCAGCAGGACTAGGCACAGAGGACAGAGGGGCCATCCCCACCCCAGCACAGACTTGTTTTGCCCTGACACACACAAGATTTTTAGGGAAATGAAGACAAAAAGCTGCCCTGGTGATCTCTAAGAGGCCATCAGTTCTTGTTCTTGGTCACAAACATGGCATTCATGCTTCTTTCTAAGGCTTCCAGCCTTAACTCCCTTGCAGCTGAAGAAGGGTTGGAACCGTTGGTGTCCACAGCACGTACACACCATTCACTCACTCAGCCAACGAAGATCCATCCATGACAAGCCCTGAAGTCCTGACAGCTCATGGCCCGGCCTCACCTGCGTCATGAAGAAGGATGCCACGTCCTCCTCAGCCAGGCCAGGAGGAGGCCTGGAGTCACCTTCCCCCTGTGCTGTCTGCCAGCTGCTGGATGAGGTTGCAGAGGAGATGGGGGGCAGTGGCTGGGCTGGACTGGGGGGTGCAGCATCTCTTGCAGCCTCCACCACAGCTGGGAGCTGCTGCCACACAAAGGTCTCGGCAGGAGCTTCAGCCCTCAGCGGCCCCGTCGTGGCTTTGGGGAGACGTGATGTGACCTGGGGGGACACAATTGGTGTCCTTGCACACTGGCACTTGTGGCAGCGTGGTGTGAGGGCCAACGGCTGGAGGTTGGTCTTTGTGGGACAGGGAGTGCCAGGGCAGCCCCAGCTCCAGGGACACCCTGGCAGCATCTTCTGTCCCATAGGATCCCTCAGCCAAGGCCAGTGGCCAGGATTGTTGAGAGAGCTGGGGGTGCTGAGCCTGGAGCTGTGGAGGCTCAGGGGAGACCTTCTGGCTCTCCACAGCTCCCTGACAGGAGGCTGGAGCCAGGGGGGGGTTGGGCTCTCCTTCCAAGGAATAATGGGTAGGACAAGAGGAAACAGCCTCAAGTTGGCCCACGGGAGGTTGAGGTTGACCCCGAGGAACAATTTCTTGCCCTTGAGGGTTGTCCAGGGCTGTGCCAGGCTGCCCAGTGCAGTGGTGGAGTCCCCATCCCTGGAAGGGTTTCCAAGCCATGGAGATGTGGTGCTGAGGGACATTGGACAGTGGGGACCTGGCAGTACTGGGGGATGGTTGGACTCAATGATCTTGAAGGTCTCTTCCAACCAAAATGATTCTATGACTGAACCCAAAAACCAAGGGACAAACCCTGCCTGGGACAGCAATAAGGGGATGGTTGGACTTCCCAGCCTCATCCTGAGGAAAATGTCTCTGATCCTTCCCACCCTTCCCTCCATCCTTCCAACCCTACTGGGATTCACGTGTCCTACCAGCTCCTCCCATGCTCCTCAGAAAGTCAGTTCCTGTCCAGTCCCACCCTGAGTATTTCAGCAGGGGCTTCATCCCTGCCCTAGGCAGGAAAGACTCCAGACTAGGGAGGCATGTCCCTCCTTACCTTGCGGCTGGAGCTGAGAGGGATGGAGAGGTGCCACCTCTCCATGGCCAGGCTCTTCTGCCGGATGAGTTTAATCCCCAGATTGTGCTGGAGGAGCCAGGTCAGCAGAGGAGGCTGGCCTGGAGAGGCAGAAGTTCAACAGAGCCTCAGGCAACTGGTGGAGAGTCCGTGCCCTGCTCCTTCACCAGTAGCGCACTGGGCCAACTAACCCCAGCTCAGCTCAGGGACCAGAGTAGGAGCCACCCTGTTTTCTAGGGAGATGCTTTAGCCCTGAGGACACACTAGACTAGGCTACGTGCCACCAAGGCCAGAGGAGCATCCCTGACCTGTTTTATTTACACACAGGTCCCACAGGAAGCAACATCATCTCAGCCTTTCCTCAGAAACCTTCTGGCTGCCATCAGAGGCTGTCTATGGAGGCCACATTCGAGGTTTATCCCCCCTGCTGAGAAAGCTGCTGCAGGAGGAAACCTGGACCAGCACTGCTGGGGTCACAGATGTTGCAGACTTAGAAAGGGCTGGAGCAGCAGCAGGGCATGACAGATTCAGAGGCCCAGCATGGTGGGGGTGGAAGGGACC